CTTGGTTAGTTTAGTTTAAGGTGCAAACTAAAGTATTAGAAATAATTAGGCACAAATTTTAATGGATAAAGTCTACCCAGCAGTTTTTTGATATAATAATAGATAATAAGGGATTTCTTTGCTGAAATCTTATAAGAAGTTTGAAAAGTCTTGGTGTCCCACTAACCTACACACTCCTATTATTTTATATATATCTTCACGTGTGCATACATGAAATAACAAATCAATTAGGATTAAGTCAAATCTTGGTGCATATACCCTCTTTCTCTCTCACGTCATTTGTTTGAGATAAAAACAAAAGGGTAGTACAAATCAAATAAATCTTTTGGTTGAGATAGGACTCATCTTTTACTCTAGCCACCCCGATATAAGGCTCACGTATTCCAAGTAAAATACCCCCAGAAAATTCAAAAAGCTTTTACCTAGAGAAAATAAATAGTCGAGTCAGAGAGAATGAAGAATTAAAAAGGGATTTTCACGTGCGTTTTTCAAGTCCATTACAACTTTTCAGGTCAACGAGGTAAGATACATATGTGCAAATTGTTTTCGTTTATATATGCTTTTATATGCAATTAAATATATTGCTAGTGAACCTTCGTGTTCTATATAAAGAGAAATGAAATCCTACGAGATATAAGAGGACATAAGATGGGTGTGTCGTTTGATCACCGATATACTCCATAAGAGCAAAGCAGTATGAAATGTAGATTTTATTGTTATATATCTATATATGGAAAATGCACGTATCTTACTGGCTGTTTTCGAATACTTGCTCTTACAAATTTTTACGGGTTAGTTCGGGTCGATTGGAATTGTGGAAGGACGATGATGCAGGCTGCCAAGTGAATCATAGTAACAAAGAATAAACTTTCCATTAAGTTTTTCTGCCATCAGAATTATTTGTTAATTTTAAGATACGTTTATTGTTATTTTTCAGATACAATCGCTATGCTTACTTAAAATTTATGAATACCGCAGTTATTACTTATTAAAGAATTTTAATTTTGATCTTTTCATATGTAAAGTAAAGAAAAATGAATTTTTTTGGTAACGCTCCGGTGTTATGAAAATTTGGGGCGTTACAAAATACAATTATACAATATATATTTTTTTAGAGCTAAACAATGATACAATAACAGTTCAAAATATCTTGCAAAAATAGGGACGCGTTAGGCCTCAGCAATAACACCAATAATACCAGTATCCTATATTTTCCCGGTACTATAATAGAATAAAGAATGGGCTGTTTTACCTCAAAAACTACAGTAAGTATAATGAGATTCCTAGCGATCCTCCTCGAACTATGAGAACGCCGTTTAATTCTGGCAAGGACAGAAGCCTCTTCTTTGGTTATATACTGCAGTCTCTTCTCAAAATCATCTCCACGTAATCTAAATAGTGCATTCCATATTCTTGACAATACTCCCTTTTTTTTCTTTGTTGGACTAATCTTGGTATCTGTATTAGTCGCAGACTCCACAGCATCATTCTTAGTTTCTCCAGCCATTTCCTACAGCTTATATGTCAGGTGAGCAACAGTTCCAGTTTCATCCTAGTAATTATAATGGGAAATTTTGAAAATTCATAACCTTCTATTCATGGAATTTAATGATTCTGATAGTAGAGGTAAATAGTAAAGCTAGATAATTTGCACAATTTTTGTTCATTTGAGGTTCAATTTGTGTTTAACTAACCCAAATTTCATTACATATTGTAAAAGTCGTATTAAATAATGAAGGTTTAATATTATTTGATTATATGAGGAAAAGAAACTACTTGTTAATATTACACTATTTAGAATCCATTCAAGTTTTCTGATAAAGCATATTCAAGACTCTTAAACTAGCGGAGCAAAGACTCCCAGTTATAGCAGGGTAAGGATATCAAAATCTTATCAACTCATTCTAATGCTCATGTATTTGTTAACCCCTAGGGTTGTAAAATCATCTTATCCCATAATCATTGCATCTTCTAATATCATAAACATTGATATTAAAAGGCAAAAGAACCGCAGTCGTGCACAAAAGTGCTTATTCTTTTCCCATCTAAACCCAAAATTTGATCATTGGAGGACCAACTCCCCAAATGCCCCTTCAGACGTAATTCATTTTGCAAGTCCACTGCCAGAGTAAGATCATTAAGTATAATAAGGCAATTGGGTATTTTGGTAGGTGAAGTATATTATTATTATTGTCAATAAATTATCATAATAGAAAGTGGAGAACGACATAGTAAGATAGCAAACAACAAGAAGAATAAAATGTTATTATTCAAGGAAAACCCCCAAACCTCTCTCTTTTTTACCATCTCAGTTCATCTATGGTAAGGTGTCGTTGATTCTAATGAATTAAACTGGAAACCTGATCGGGTGTCCACTCCAGCACTTGCAATTCTCCACAACTGTGGATAACATGGTGAAAACAAGAACCATGTTCAATTCATATCAAAAAAGAAAGCAGAGTGAATCATGATAAATCGTGTGAAAACCCAATGGTGAACTTGTATAATGAATGTCCCACTTCAGTGAAATTAGACATGAAAGGTAACTCTAATAAAAATAGGACGATTTGAGACCATTGATGATTGTCATCAGGGTATCCTTTCAATGAACCAGTTGATCCAATAAAGTCAAAAATTCCTGATTATTTCTCAATAATCACTAAACCGATGGATTTGATGACGGAAAAACATATGCTAGAGGACAATATGTACTTTGGTGAAGAGAAATTTTTTGTTGTATAATCCACTGGGTCATTAACTTGGCGAAGGAATTGTATGATGCAGTGATACTTCCACTAGAAGACAGAAATTACAGGAGGCAAAACTGAAACGAAAAGGAACTTGTGAAGAGGTCTATGCTCTGGATGAAACAGACTAAGATGGCAAAAAAATACTATGCCATCATAGAAAAGAATGGCCAGAATTCAAAACACGCTTCTTTAGTAAAGCTACATTGTGCATCAATCTTGTATAGAAGAGGCCAATATTGTTGGTGGAAAAGTGAAATAAGACAAAGGAGCTACTATACTTTGATATATGCAAAGCCAAAAATTCTAACCTGTTCAAGCTATGATGCAGCCTAAAGTCAACTGATTCACGAAATAGTCTAACACAAACTAGGTGTAAATTGTAAGAAGTTTTCACCTCACCTCGTGAATGAATTTGTGGCAACTAGGCACCGCTTTCTTACTATTACCTAGTGAAATCTGAAAAGAGCGAGAAAAGAAGCTTCGAATTGATCTTTTGCTAATGATCTAGCTCTCCAGATCTTTTTATCTAGGAAGAAATGGCCAAAATGGATAATTATTATTTCGCTCTCTTTACATGAACATGAGGGGAAGTACAATTAGGCATAAATAATCTCTCAATCATGAGAGAGAACTGGAAGCACCTCATATGTGGGGAATCAGGGATTTATGTTGATTATAAAATCCTAGCCTAACTAAGGATTAAAATCATTTACAATATCCACTTAGAAACCTGTTGCAAGGATTCTAACAAAGTATATCGAGGGCTTTTGAGCCAAGTGGATAAAAAATATCCCACTTAAAATAGGACATTGATAAGTTTTATTACACTCTGCTTAATGTCCCAAGAATGTAAAATCCATAGGGGAAGGTAAAATCATGTGACCTCATATCATTGTAAACCCTCTAGACACTGCTTTTACACAATAGTGTTTATTCTCCTCTCTCCTAGGTAAAGATTTAACTAATTTGAGTGTCAGATCACCCCACTCCTTCAAACGGATTTCTTTTGCAAGTCCGAAGCAAAATAACAAATTATAATTAGATAACCTTGCCTGTTTAGATAATATAACAAATTTTGACATCAAGAAACTACTCAACTTAGTTTAGAGGTAAACTGCCACCACCAGAACCTTTTTGTTCCCCTATAATGCTATCTAGCCTAATGAAAGAGCACCAGCACCCAGGCTTGGGTTAAAGATCGGCCTGAGTTAGATGGCAATACTCAATTGAAAAAATATACTTTATACTTTTCATTCGCCAAGAACTGATGCAGAGATGCCAATTAATCACAAAAAATAACACACCATCAAAGTTCAGATACTTTTTTACTTTCTGCTAAGTAATTACAAAATTTCAGCATGGACGGAAACCTAAATCATCTCCAATTTTAGGAATGGAGTCAGATAACTGAATCTAATACAGTATATTCAATAATACAAAAATGAAAATGCAACTATAAAAGATTAAATCCCAAAATAAAAAAACTTCAGAAAAATGAGTACAAGTCTCGTTGCATATATACAAATACACAAGCGCAGAGAGAGAGAGAGAGAGAGAGAGAGAGAGAGAGAGGAAATTTACCAGATCAAACGACGAGGTTGAGGAATTGGATCGCTCGAAGTCAAAGTACTATTCAATTGCCTCTTTCCACTACCTTTAATTCGAAGAATGGGCAGTTCTTTTCATTTGAAGCTTTCTCGTGGGAGTATGCGAGGGGTGGGTAGATTTAAAATGGAATAGTCAAGTGAAATTTCACTGTGATTTGTTCAATTGTTAAAAGGGTTATTACCACTACAAAATTAAGTGCACCGCATTTTTCTTATTTACTTAAATAACTTCAAGCAAAATTACATAATTAGAGTTTTGGATTAATGAACCATTACTGTACTCAATATATTATAATGATTTCCTATTATTGAATATCCAGTATTCAACTATCCAAGTGGGATCCCAATTTCCATAACAAAAACAACAACGCATACAGAACTCTATAATGTTTTATAGAACAAACTAAATGTTAATTTCTCTAAATATGATATGGAATTAAAATTTAAATTCAGCGATCAGGAAGTTCTGATTCCATCTACGACGATTTTTTCTGATGTCGAAGTGAATTAGTTGTTTGAAATGAATAATAGGCACTCGACTCCTATTTGTGTGATTTTAGTGAGGAAAGATGTTGTCAAAAGTGAACAATCAGACTCAGATGAAGGGGATCACAATGTTAATGACTTTTGGGATACGGTCCAGATAGTTCACGAAGATAATGCGGTTATTTCAAAGACAGTTACTCACAGAATTCCATTCATAATTCACGACAATGGGTATGAAAATGCAAATACTTTTATAGACGAGGATTTGATCGCTTTATCCTGAGAGAGACATGAGTGGGGTGGGACCTTAGAGGCTGGATCGAGTGGACCATACTCTAACTCCTCCCGTGTGGTTCCCGATAGTGATGATTTGTATGTCGAGCAACTATTTGAAACGAAAAAAGATTTGCAGAAAGTTGTGCACCTGATTGCGCTGAAATATAACTTTGAGTTCAAAGTGAAAAAAATCGAACAAATCGTTGTTGACAATTGCCTGCGTAGACGACAGTTGCTGTTGGCGTTTGCGAGCGACGAAGAAGAATACGAATGAGTGCTTTGTAGTTCGTAAGTACAGACGGGAACATACTCGTGAAGTGAGATTACGTCGAAATGATCACAGGAAAACTCGAGCTTGGTTTATTGGTTGACAGATAATGCACAAGTATCAAGATCCACGTACGATCTACAGACCATCGGACATCATTAATGATGTCCTCGAGAGTACGGAGTAGTCTTGAGCTACCAAAAGGCCTGAAGGGCCAAGGAATGTGCGTTTGAGGATTTAATGGGCTCTGCATAGGAAAATTGTGCTAAATTGGCCATGTATTGCCATAATATGGAGAAAACTAATCCTGGCTCGGAATTTTTTATTGAGACAGAGGGTGGGAATTACTTCAAATTCTTATTCATGGCTCTTGGACAATGCATTCGAGGATTTCGAAATGCAACGCAACCCCTAATTCTAGTTGATGATATAACACTGAAATCTAAATATCAAGGCAAGTTGATTATTACTACATGTCAAGATACCAACATCCAAATTTACCCTCTTGCATTCGGCATAGTCAATAGTGAGAATGACATGTCGATGCGATGGTTCTTCACAAAGTTAAGGGAAGTAATCGGGGAAGTCGAGGACTTTGCATTTGTAACACATGAGGACAGCCTTTAATAAATGACATCGCTGAAGTTTTTCCGGATGCACATCATGGGTATCATGTACCATATTCAAGACAATCTGAAGACCATGTATCGAGGCAAAGGTATCGTTTCATTGTTCAGGAGAGCGGCTGAAGCCTACGGTATTGAGGAGTGTAATAAGATAATAGTTAAAATAGGAAGTAAATCATTCGATACATGATATTATCTAACGAAAATGGGGATTGAACATTGGGCGCGCTCTTTTTTTTTAGGATATCGATACAACATGATGACGTCAAACAACGTGGAGTCTCTCAATGCATTATTCAAGAAGGATCGAGAATTACCCATTCTTGCATTGATTGAGAATATTCGTACCAAACTGCAACAGTGGTTTCACGATCGACATGCGAAATCTGAAAAATGCACAAGCATGCTAACCCCTGGTGCAAGAGGAAATGCTATTCAAAGCTGTAGAACTTTCGAGACAGTTGAATGTCGAACCACTAGACAAGTCGCGCTTCTCAGTGGAATGTGCCGTAATACGACATATATGGTGAACTTGACTGATAACACATACGCTTGCAAAAAAATTCAGTTGGAGACTTTTTCATGTGAGCATGCAGTCGCGGTTGTCATGTACCGAGGATTACAGCTAGAACATTGTGCTCTCATCACTACAAAACTGATTATTGGAGAGTTGTGTACCCTGAGACAATATTTCCTCTGCCGAACGAAGATGAGTGGGAAGTCCCCTACCATATTCACCCACTCAATACATTGTTGTCACCTCTCATTGAACCGCGTGGTCCTGAACGTCCAAGTACGTATAGAATACCATCTACCGGAGAATTCCCTCGATAGCGTAGGTGTAGTCGATGCAAATCAGTAGGGCATACTCGTCAATATTGTACAAGTCATGTTCCTCTAAATGATAGTTAGATCATTTGGTAATGTTGTCCACCTAAATTAAACAGTGTTTGCATTTATTCTACGATGTTTCAAAGGCCGTCGTAGTTAATAATCATTTCATAATCCATTACAGTGTGTTACAAACATTTCGTAAGTACAACAAATCAATATTTACAATGTTTACAATTATTTCGTAATTACAAAAAATTACAACTAATAATTACAATAGATCTATGGATCACCATTAAAGTTAAATAAGTTGCACGCCAACTTATTCTGCCAACTCTGTATTCAGGATTGATTCATTCCATCAACCTTATGTGCTATACGCAGAAATTCGATATACTTTATTACAAAAATGGCACAATCGTCCCTGCAAATGAATAATAATGAGTTCGATCAGTACCACGCAGCAAAAAAATTAAGAATTAAATTTTAAAAATTTTAGAACCACTTACGATATTGTCGGCCTTGCCGTGTTCATGTCCCGCATGACGGCTAATTTGTCCTTCACAATCAATCCCTCCTGCCTAGCCATCATAGGGACAAAAACAGCAATGAACTCCAAATTTTGCTCGAGCTAACCCTGTGTCAGACATGAATGATCGGGATCGTACACATATATAGTAGACTCAGCGAACACAATTTTCAATGCTATGCAGTGATGATTCACGATCACTGGTATGTACATATATGTACAACCCTTCCATGACTTCCCCCCGACACGTGGCCACATCCCTATGGTCCACTCGAGCATGTAGTCGGGCACCGCGTACTCCTTGCCGGCATGTTGAAGCGACTGGTACTCAACGTCAACGCTTCGTCCAAACTCCAAATTCAGTATGACTCGGCCAAGACTGTCGAATGAGCCCAGATATCTTTGAACCCGATCACGCAACAAGTCCATGGCTAGGTCGATGTATTGCATTGAAAAATAGCAATACAAAAGGGAGTTATTTCATTGCATAAACAAACAATGATATACAAGTCATAAAAATTAACAGTATGACTACTTCACTTACATCGTCGGCAAGCCAAGCTCCTGAAGTGATGATGTCATAGAACCACTTATAAATATCGGAGATCGTCACAATACCAATCGCACGACTGATTCTAACAAAAGAAATAGAAAAATGTTAAAAAAGCGTATACGAGTAACGATAACCGATATGTACTAATATTACTAATATCATGAATATTAACCCGGGCAACATTTTTCTCCACTCCGTCTCGAACGCTTTCCACTTGGTATGAATATTACAAAAATGGCACAATCGCCCCTGCAAATGAATAATAATGAGTTCGATCAGTACCACGCAGCAAAAAAATTAAGAATTAAATTTTAAAAATTTTAGAACCACTTACGATATTGTCTGCCTTGCCGTGTTCATGTCCCGTATGACGGCTAATTTGTCCTTCACAGTCAATCCCTCCTGTCTAGCCATCATAGGGACAAAAACAACAATGGACTCCAGATTTTGCTCGAGCTAACCCTGTATCAGACATGAATGATCGGGATCATACACATATATAGTAGACTCAGCGAACACAATCTTCAATGCTATGCAGTCATGATTCACGATCACTGGTATGTACATATGTGTACAACCCTTCCATGACTTCCCCCCGACACGTGGCCACATCCCTATGGTCCACTTGAGCATGTAGTCGGGTACCGCGTACTCTTTGCCGGCATGTTGAAGCGACTGGTACTCAACGTCAACGCTTCGTCCAAACTCCAAATTCAGTATGACTCGACCAGGACTGTTGAATGAGCCCAGATATGTTTGAACCCGATCACGCAACAAGTCCATGGCTAGGTCGACGTGTTGCATTAAAAAATAGCAATACAAAAGGGAGTTATTTCATTGCATAAACAAACAATGATATACAAGTCATAAAAATTAACAGTATGACTACTTCACTTACATCGTCGGCAAGCCAAGCTCCTGAAGTGATGATGTCGTGGAACCACTTATAAATATCGGAGATCGTTACAGTACCGATCGCACGACTGATTCTGACAAAAGAAATAGAAAAATGTTAAAAAAGCGTATATGAGTAACGATAACTGGTACATACTAATATTACTAATATCATGAATATTAACCCGGGCAACATTCTTCTCCACTCTGTCTCGAACGCTTTCCACTTGGTATGATCCACATCCCGAAATAGGTTGGGGATCGTCCCATCGACGAACCTCCTCCTTTTCGTCTCAGCCGTGAAGGGAGAGAAATGTAATGTGACGGCACTCTCGGCCTCTTGCCTACCACTAGCTCCGGCAAGTCAACAACACTCTTTTTCGCCCCAGTCAAGGCGGTCGTCCTCCCCTCACCCACCTCAAGCATCGTTCCCTCTTCCATCCCGACGATCGCTACCTCTTCCATGCTCACCACTTCCTCCGTCCCCGTCATCACCACCTCCTCGACCATAGCTCCCGTCCCTGAGGGGCCCACCACCTCATCATCTCGCGTCAACACCACCTCTTCGACCCCTTCATCCGCCATCGTCGGCACCACCTCCTCGATCGTCGCTCCTGTCCCCAACGGGGCCACCCCATCATCCACTCTCAGGACCATCCTATCCTCCATACTGAAGAAAGGAGTCCTATGCATCCTC